ACAGAGTGCCACGCCAATCCATCAAGGAGGTCGTCAAAAACTACCCCAGTTATATCTGACACCACTCACTTTATCCAGACTTAAGACAATTTTAACCTCCCACCAAATAGCGACATCATCCTTGTCCATGTCACTATGGACGTTCCATCCCCTTACGCTGACATACCAAACAAGGAAGGCCTTCGATCAGAAGCCCAGATTATTAGATGATTTACTAAACTAGCCCCATCCTACGCCAACATATTCATGGGAAAATTAAGAAGAAAACTCCCCAAAAGAACCACTGATAACCCAAACCTGTACTTCAGATGTTTTTACATTTTCCTTATCTAGACCTGGGTCTCACCAGATTAGAATCTTTCATCAAAGAAATCAATGAATTACATTACATTAAATTTAAAGCTGAATTTCAATTTTCAATTTTCATCTTTCTAAGACACGGGTCATCTTTAACCAGAAGACACGAACTGGAATTTCACTACCAGTCACCTGCATGCGTTACATTAGGATCTTACAGCCAATTCTTACGACTCAAAAAGATATGCAGTTCGCAATCACAATATGAGTTCCGGAGTAACAATATGGTCAAGTATTATCTCAGGAGAGTCTACCCTTAGAAAATCCTTCTGGATAATAAACTGAGAGCGAACACGAAGGAGAGAACAGACCTCTTAAACTGGTGATCTTCATCACAGACTACAATCCCGCAGCACTCAAGGTCAGCTCCAAGGTTAAAATCTCCTGGTACTGCACAGACACGTTCCGATTCCCACACATCACAGCATATAGAAAGAACTGCACACTTAGCGATATCCTCATGAAGGCGGCCATCACATACCATGCAAACCACAAACAAACATGTATATCATGTCAGCAAACACGACAGGCTAAAAATACAAATGTTCAAACGCAATTTAACTGCGAGAGTAGAAACATAATCTGCTTACTAAACTGCTCCAAATGTAAGAAACAATATGTAGGAGAAACAAAACGTCACTTCTGCATTAGGACTCAAAGAACACATTGATCATTGATCATTGATCTTGTCAGGTAATATATAGTATTGCACACCTTCCAGCAAAACCTGGGTGATTAGGTACCACTTGTGAGAGATGAGATGAGAAGAGTTAAAGAATGACATTTTATGATACAAAGGTTATCATGCTGTGTGTTTTGGAATGGTAAATGGATCTGCTGATGTGTCTGTGCATCTGAGGTGTCTGTATCTGCTGATGTGCCTGTGTATCTGATGATGTGTCTGTGTATCTGCTGATGTGTCTGTGTATCTGATGATGTGACTGTGTCTGATGTGTCTGTATCTGATGATGTGTCTGTGTATATGCTGATGTGTATGTGCATCTGATGTGCCTGTATCTGATGATGTGTCTGTGTATCTGGTGATGTGTATGTGCATCTGATGTGTCTGTATCCACTGATGTGTCTGTGTATCTGCTGATGTGTCTGTGTATCTGTTGATATATCTGTGTATCTGATGATGTATCTGTGTATCTGCTGATGTGTCTGTGTATCTGATGATGTGTCTGTCTATCCTCATGTGTCTGTGTATCTGATGAGGTGACTGTATCTGCTGATGTGTCTGTATCTCCTGATGTGTCTGTGTATCTGCTGATGTGTCTGTGTATCTGTTGATGTATCTGTGTATCTGATGATGTATCTGTGTATCTGATGATGTGTCTGTGTATCTGATGATGTGTCTGTCTATCCTCATGTGTCTGTGTATCTGATGAGGTGACTGTATCTGCTGATGTGTCTGTATCTCCTGATGTGTCTGTGTATCTGCTGATGTGTCTGTGTATCTGTTGATGTATCTGTGTATCTGATGATGTATCTGTGTATCTGATGATGTGTCTGTGTATCTGATGATGTGTCTGTATCTGCTGATGTGTCTGTGTATCTGCTGATGTGCCTGTGTATCTGCTGATGTGTCTGTGTATCTGATGATGTGTCTGTGTATCTGCTGATGTGTCTGTGTATCTGCAGATGTGTCTGTTGGGCTAAGGTTCTAAAAGGGTGATGTTCGTTTCCGGAACGTAACTCAAAAGCCGTTAAATACTTTCTTACAAAACTTTGTATGTCTACCAGGCACATACTGAACACACACAGTATCAGGTCAAAGTGGGTTCCCATTGTACTGATATAGCTGACACACACAGTACCAGGTCAAAGTGGGTTCCCATTGTACTGATATAGCTGACACACACAGTACCAGGTCAAAGTGGGTTCCCATTGTACTGATATAGCTGACACACACAGTGCCAGGTCAAAGTGGGTTCCCATTGTACTGATATAGCTGACACACACAGTACCAGGTCAAAGTGGGTTCCCATTGTACTGATATAGCTGACACACACAGTACCAGGTCAAAGTAGGTTCCCATTGTACTGATATAGCTGACACACACAGTGCCAGGTCAAAGTAGGTTCCCATTGTACTGATATAGCTGACACACACAGTACCAGGTCAAAGTAGGTTCCCATTGTACTGATATAGCTGACACACACAGTACCAGGTCAAAGTAGGTTCCACTTGTACTGATATAGCTGACACACACAGTACCAGGTCAAAGTAAGTTCCCATTGTACTGATATAGCTGACACACACAGTACCAGATCAAAGTAAGTTCCAATTGTACTGATATAGCTGACACACACAGTACCAGGTCAAAGTAGGTTCCCACTGTACTGATATAGCTGACACACACAGTACCGGGTCAATGTAGGTTCCCATTGTACTGATATAGCTGACACACACAGTACCAGGTCAAAGTAGGTTCCCATTGTACTGATATAGCTGACACACACAGTACCAGGTCAAAGTAAGTTCCACTTGTACTGATATAGCTGTCACACACAGTACCAGGTCAAAGTAAGGTTCACTTGTACTGATAAAGCTGACACACACAGTACCAGGTCAAAGTAAGTTCCACTTGTACTGATATAGCTGACACACACAGTACCAGGTCAAAGTAAGTTCCACTTGTACTGATATAGCTGACACACACAATACCAGGTCAAAGTAAGTTCCCATTGTACTGATATAGCTGACACACACAGTACCAGGTCAAAGTAAGTTCCACTTGTACTGATATAGCTGACACACACAGTACCAGGTCAAAGTAAGTTCCACTTGTACTGATATAGCTGACACACACAGTACCAGGTCAAAGTAGGTTCCACTTGTACTGATATAGCTGACACACACAGTACCAGGTCAAAGTAGGTTCCACTTGTACTGATATAGCTGACACACACAGTACCAGGTCAAAGTAAGTTCACATTGTACTGATATAGCTGACACACACTGTACCAGGTCAAAGTAAGTTCCACTTGTACTGATATAGCTGACACACACAGTACCAGGTCAAAGTAAGTTCCACTTGTACTGATATAGCTGACACACACAGTACCAGGTCAAAGTAAGTTCCACTTGTACTGATATAGCTGACACACACAGTACCAGGTCAAAGTAAGTTCCACTTGTACTGATATAGCTGACACACACAGTACCAGGTCAAAGTAAGTTCCACTTGTACTGATTTAGCTGACACACACAGTACCAGGTCAAAGTAGGTTCCACTTGTACTGATATAGCTGACACACACAGTACCAGGTCAAAGTAAGTTCCACTTGTACTGATATAGGTGGTACACACAGTACCAGGTCAAAGTAAGTTCCATTTGTACTGATATAGCTGACACACACAGTACCAGGTCAAAGTGAGTGAGTGAGTTGGGTTTAACGTCGCTTTTAACATTATTCCAGTTATATCACGGCGTGTCAGCTTAATGTGGGAGGAAAGACCGAAGTGATGCAGGTCTCAGACATTTACCACTTCAGTGAAACCCACAAGCACGGCTATGGTGCTGACAAACCTAGAAACATAATCGGTGTGAACCGGGATTCGAACCCACAATCATAGGTTTCTGGCGTGTCCAGGGGACGCAACTCTGCACAGCGAGTCGCCGTACTTGGACGATTGGGCCACCCGTGCCCCTCCACTTGTACTGAGATATTTAATGTGTCCTAATTGACTTTTTCAGTAGTTTAAACAACTTCATTCCGTCATTACAGTTACAACAATTTGCTTTTTATCTCATTTCAGACCCGTGAAGATCGGGGGTGGAATAGGTCTTCAGCAACCCATGCTTGCCGTAAAAGAGGACTGACTGTGCTTGTCGTAAGAGGCGACTTACGGGATTGGGTGGTCAAGCTCACTGACTTGGTTGATGCATGTCACTGTATCCCAATTGCACAGATCAATGCTCATGACGTCAGTCACTGGATTGTCTGGTCCAGGCTCGATTATTCACAGACCACATCACAAAACAAAAAAATCTTTGCATGAAATGTTTTTACGTAAAGCGGTTTCTGGGTGGGGAAGGGAATTGGAATAACATGGAATAACATGGTGACTGATTATGGTGAATGACCTAATTGTTATATATGAATGAATTGTTAAATGTGATGAATGCATGTATGCAAGACGCTGTATGATCTTATCCTGGAGATGTAATGAACAAAGTGAGTGTATTTTTTGGTGAGAGTGAGTGAGTTGGGTTTAACGCCGCTTTAAACAGAATTCCAGTTATATCACGGCGTGTCAGCTTAACGCAGGTCTCAGACGTTTACCACTTCGGTGAAACCCACGAGCACGGGTCTGGTGCTAACAAACCCAGAAACATAATCAGGGCGAACTGGGATTCGAAACCCACAATCATAGGTTTCTGGTGTGCCCAAGGGACGCAACTCTGCACAGCAAATTGTGGCCACCCGTGCCCCCTGAATTGTTGGGTCTACTCGGCAACACAAACACCAGGGACCACTTGCACAAAGCAATCTTAGCACTAAGACTATTGTAAGCCTATGTTAAAGTATGGGAGTTACGTTAATCTTAGCGCTAAGATCGCTTTGTGCAAGTGGGCCCAGATGCTTTCTATAGGTTTATTTTGCTTACATCACATAACAATAACTCATTATGTGAACTTGATAGATATTTATTAAGGCACATATACACATGTTCAACAATGAAATATGTATCGAAATATACATAAATATTAATGCAAAACATAGTATGTCATGAGTTTCAAATGTATGTTTCCATGGAATGTTTAAGGGGCGTGGCAGGGTTCTGTAATGAAATACAACACATGGTCAAATTTTTTGTATTCGCCATATTAGAGGTAGCCATCAAGCAGCCATGTCATTAGCTGCTTGGTTGGAGGGTTTGTGTAACAAAAAGTACAAAGTTTACTGGAATAAATTGTTTTCTTTGCAAGATATGTGGGTGAAACCGCATTGTCAGTGGTTCATATTGGGAAAGGGAGGTCACTCTAATTTGAAACTGGAGCTATCTCCGTTGTTTTCGTATTTGCGAGAAATGGCGTCGGTCACGCTGTACGTTGTTGTTGGTCCAGCTATTAAATGCCCAGCTTATCCCTAAGGTAAAACGTATTCTTAATTAAATGTTTGAATGCATTATATATTTATCTTTCCATCCGTACATCTTCTTAGATTGGTTTAGTGCTGATAACCATTTTCTAAAATATATGATGATATTTAGTTTCGAATATGGGCCCACCTGGAACTTTCGATTAGGCAAACAGAGTTAGCTCCCATCTCGAACCACTGTAATGCAGTTTCAAAGCTATCAAATGATTGTACAGCTGATGTGTGGAGAAGGGAATTCCATCGTGACATGTTAGGCCTTGTGTTACTTGAGGCCTTTGTGTGGGCTCAGCTCCTAAATGTATCACATTTGTGAGTGAGTGAGTGAGTACGGTTTTACGCCGCTTTTAGCAATATTCCAGCAATATCATGGTGGGGGACACCAGAAATGGGCTTCACACATTGTACCCATGTTGGGAATCGAACCCGTGTCGTCGGCGTGACCAGCGAATGCTTTAACAACTAGGCTACCCAACCGCCCTGTTTCACATTTGTAGGTTGTATTGAAGTTTTCAGGGGGTGATGTTTGCTGATTAATGTGTAGATTTTGGACCACAACATTAAACATACACATCCATTTATACCAGCATCTTCTCAAGAGCCTCTGTGGCTTTGGGTTTTAAAACATACAAACGAGTTTTCAGTTATATCAATGTGACACACGTTGAAGATTGGCAGGAGATAACAATGCGCGACTCATTTGTTTTGGTAGTGTAGTGATGTTGGGATGTGTTCGAGTGTAATGTTTTTTGAAGCTGGAAACTTTGTTCTAGGGTGTTTCCACACCAACATCGAAAGAAGGAGAAATGCATAATGTGAGATAGGATAAGTTTAAAAATTCACTCCTTAAAATTTGATCATGCAGGAAACTGCAATATCAGCAGATTTCAAAACCTTCCCTTGTCTGTTCCCTATATTGTTTCTGTACTGATATCCACAACATGTGTTCAGGCCTGAGAGAAGAAAGCCCCATGCAAACTTGTACACAACAGTGATAAAAAGGATCCCGCTCTAAACTTAACACCAACACACATACAGACAGACAACAGCCTGGGCATCAAGATGTCTTCTTAGCACTTTCTTCAACAAACAATTGCATCTGAAAAAAAACAAAAGAATTTAATAAGAGGTGAGTGAGTGAGTGAGTGAGTGAGTGAGTGGGTCAGTGAGTGAGTGGGTCAGTGAGTGAGTGGGTCAGCGAGCGAGTGAGCGAGCGAGTATGGTTTTACGCCGCTTTTAGCAATATTCCAGCAATATCATGGCGAGGGACACCAGAAATAGGCTTCTCACATTGTACCCATGTCGGGAATCGAACCTGGGTCTTCGGCGTGACAAGCAAATGCTTTAACCACTTGCCTACCCAACAACCCTTATATGAAAAGAACCATGGAGTTATTCATTTTCTGTATAAATATACCAAGAATTTGATAAAAGCTGATGAATAATCAAAAAAATCAGAATGTAAAACAAGTGTTACCCAAAAATCACTAACTTGCAATGTTAAGGTTACTTAAAGAACATATATTTGACATGTGTTTCATATTCTTCAGGGTATGGCAGCAGGCGCAGACAGTAATGCCAGAACAGTGAGACAGACAGTGGGTGAGCTTAAACATTTAGCCTCAGGTAAGTATAAAAACATTGCTTATGTTTTATCTTACCTGACTCAACACAGTGCTTTATTGGACTGACATGGAAGGCAGGTTTACCCCAATCTCATTAAAATCAGATCTTAGTTCTCGCTACCGCTAAACAAAGATCTGAGGACATCCCATTACGGGTCACGTCAGACCGACCTTGCGTGAACTTTGACCGACTAATGGAATGACCAATCAGAAGGCAGCTTTCTTGTGCTTTACGGCATTGATTTCAAATTGGCGACTACGCTTCGAAACATATTTTGACAAATTCTCGATTACAAATTTGAAACCTTAACAAAAAACATTCTGGAATGGCTAATAGATGGTCTAGATTGTAAGGATTCAGTTGTTAAACCCGTAACTATCGTTCGGATTACCCAATGTTAAAGTTTTCGAGATTGCATGATTAGAAATCACATTCCGACTGTCACTTTCATAATCTGGTAAGCGACGCACTGATTGGTCGGATGAAAGGTCGCTCTGACGCGACCCCAAATGGGATGTCTTCAGATCTTTGTTTAGCGGTGGTGAGAACTAAGGTCTCATTTTAATGAGATTGGGTTTACCCTGATAAGCAGCATTCACGCTGAGGAAGCACTGCGACAGGGATCTCTCCAGACGGCAGTGAGATAGTGGCTCTGATGCAGGTCAAGCACTCTCGGAAGAAGGTATGGTCGTACCATATCAGCAGGTGACCAAAGTGAGTGTGTGTGTTAATGCCGCTTTTAACATTATTCCAGTTATATCACAGCGTGTCAGCTTAATGTGGGAGGAAAGCCTGAAGTGATGCAGGTCAAAGACGTTTACCACTTCGGTGAAACCCACAAGCACGGGTATGGTGCTGACAAACCTAGAAACATAATTGGGGCGAACCGAGATTCGAACCCACAATCATAGGTTTCTGGCGTGCCCAAGGGACGCAACTCTGCACAGCGAATCGCAGCACCTTAGACGACTGGGCCACCCGTGCCCCCAGGTGACCAAAGGACCAAAGGTGACATTTTCCTCCTGTCAGAGCATGGTCTCTGGCGTTGGTCCGCTGCCGGGCTAAGAAAAGTGGTCCCAACCTGTGAGTCCCCTCAACATCCTCAACAGATGCATTGCTGTGATAATGACTGGCAAAGATAGTTGTAGATGGTAGTCCGGATGGAGATGTTGTTTAAAGCCGCGGCCTGTAAATAATCGAGTCAGTGATTGACATCTGATCCTGTTAGTCGCCTTTTACGGCAAGCATGGGTTGCTGAAGACCTGTTCTACCCCGAATCTTCATGGGACTGAGACGGGCATGGGTTGCCCAGTTGTCTAAGGCATGGTGATTTGCTGTTCAGAGTTGCGTCCCTTGGGCATGCCAGAAACCTATGATTGTGGGTTCGAATCCTGGTTTGCCGCGATTATGTTTCTAGGTTTGTCGGGCTTTCCTCCCACATTAAGTGGACACGCTGCGATATAACTGGAATACTGTTAAACGCGGCATTAAACCCAACTCACTCCTGGGCCAGAGATGTTGGCGACAGGTTGGCAACAGGTCAGCATGATGATACACATGAAGGACAGCTGATCAGAACCAGATTGTGTCTCACGTCACCTTTGCGTGGACACCTGCAGAGGGCGAGTTTCAGGTCATCATCTGGGCTGACTATCATGGAACTGGCCATTAGGTTGACCCGGTTTTAGGGACGAAAACCCAGGAAACATCAAGGGCATGAAGCTCACTAATTTGGGTCACCATGGCCAGGAGAAGTCTTGATCGTAGGGAAGCTGAAGCACTGTAGCATCAGGTAAGGTAAAACATAAAAATTGTGATCATGTCATGTTTTGTTTGTTTGTTTGTTATTTAATGCCGCACTCAGCAATATTTGAGCTATATGACGGCGGACTGTAAAATAATCGAGTCTGGACCAGACAATCCATTGATTGACATCATGAGCATCGATCCACACAATTGGGATCGATGACATGTATCAACCAAGTCAGCGAGCCTGACCACCCAATCCCATTAGTTGCCTTTTACGGCAAGTATGGGTTGCTGAAGACCAATTTCTAATCCGGAATCTTGACGGGTCTCATGTCATAATGGGATATTCGACTGTTAGCTGTCCCTGAGACGTAGGACTGTATTTTCTTTGACATGATCAGGAGTTGTACCTTAAAGAAGTCGGACTTCATGGACTTGAGAGGAACAAGCTTTGAGTCTTCCATTTTCTGCTGTTTCTCGTCTGCTTCAACCCAGGGGAAGTTCTGAAAGCACAGATTGGAACATGCTTTATCCTTTAATGTATAGATAAGATAGATGTGGGACAAACACTAGTGAGTAATCTCTATTAGCAGTGAGGGGCGGTCGGGTAGCTTAGTGGTTAAAGCGTTTGCTCGTCACGCCGAAGACCCGAGTTCGATTCCTGACATGGGTACAATGTGTGAAGCCCATTTCTGGTGTCCCCCGCCGTGATATTGCTGGAATATTGCTAAAAGCAGCATAAAACCATACTCACTCACTCACACTATTATCAGTGAATGAGGAGAGTAATCGAAACCAGGGACTGCTAATAGAGATTACTGTTGGGTGTTAGCCTCGCTCGCACCTTATCTTATCCCGAAGATTAATGGCTGACGCTACACCGTCTTCCTCCTTCAGTAGTCTTGAAAGCTGTTCTATTACTATGTGGTTCAAGTTGAAACATCCAGCAAAAGGAAGCATGTCAAATGATCTTGACCCGAGAATCTGCTATTTATGGAACCGGCAACTATCCCAACGCTGGAATAGAAGCCAGTCAACTAGCTGACAATTAACAATAACAGTTCCAATAAATATTCTGAACGTTACCTTGATGTTTGTTTTTAATCGTCTGATTATCAACTTTTAGTCCAACACCTCTCAAAGTACCTGGACCCTGAGACTCGGTGCATTTATCAAAATTCTGTGCACAAAGGACAGCAACAGCTTCGAAATTGTGATAATCGCTGATCCCTTATCAGATTTTTTTGTTATTCTAAATACCAAAGATTCATGACGTTAATTTCTATCATAAAATAAACCATGGATTTCGCTAACGAAATTAGGCCAGCAGGGTGCCAGGCCACGGCAGCTTTGTTGATGCACATATTAAGGAGTTTTAACATTTTATGATAAAAAGGTTACCATACTGTGTGTTTTGGAAGTATTTTGAATAAATACTACATATTTATTCCTAGACTAACATATAGTCAACAAAATCTCTTATCACACAATACAATTCTCTCACCTAAAACAGTGCGGATGCTGATTTCATGATGTGGAGCTTGCTGTGGTATAATCTGAATTATTACTGAGTTAATGCATATACTGGAACATTTACCCACTTGAGTTTGGGAATGGTAAATGTCCTGTATCTGGAATAAACACTACATACCATCCCCAAACATACTCACAAGAAAACCTCTACATAATGTAAACAGAAGTCTGCAAATTTACACCTATCACAGTATGCCCTAAAAAGTGTCGCATACATTGCACCTGGCAAACCAGTGGTTGATGGAGTCAAAATACATTGAGTAAGTTGGGATGGCTTTCAACTATTTCCGTTAAAAAGCCACATGTGGGAGAAAAACCTGAAGTGAGTGAGTATGGTTTTACAAGGCTTTCAGCAATATTCCAGCAATATCATGGCAGGGGACACAAGAAATGGGCTTCACACATTGTACCCATGTCGGAAATCGAACCCTCATCCTCAGCGTGACGAGCAAACGTTTTAACCACTAGGCTACCCGACTGCCCCAAACCTGAATAGAAGCAAGAGTAGACATTTACCACTTTGGTGGAAGCCACAAGCATGGGTAGGTACTGACAGACCAAAGATGATAATTAGGGTGAAAATGGGATTCCTACCCATGACAAGTTAACCCAGGTACAACAAAGGCTCACCAGTCTGTACTGCATCCTGGTGAGGTGAGGTGAAATGGGGTTTAACGTCGTGTCCAAGATTATTGCACTTATATAGCGACGTGCATGTACGCTTGTGTGTTTGTGTGGCTGCTTGTACTAGTCCGGACTGATGCCGATTTATAGTGCTAGCTCACTGAGATACCTTGCCGCAGTTTAACATGAATACCCCACTCAGACACAGTATACTGACTCCGAGCCGACCAGTCCTTGTTTTAGCCCCTTAATGCCGAGCACCAGACAGGGTAACAACAAGTACCATCTTTTAACGTCTTTTGGTATGACGCGGCCGGGGATCGAACCCAAGACCTTCCGCTTTCCGGGCGGACGCTCTACCACTAGACCACGGAGGCGGTCCTACTGCGTCCTGGAACTGATAGAGTAAGATGTGTTTTATACTACCGCCAAGACAATGCAGCCATATTTAAAATCACACAAATCAAATTTGTCACTCACTGGTCTAGAGTGTAGAATCTCCTCAAATCTCCCGGGGACTTTGATGACTTGTTTCTCATCCAACTTCTGTGCAGCAGACTCTCGTGTGTGGATGTGCACTGTCCAGGTGCAGTCTGGGAACAAAGGAGAACTATGTATTTCAGTGTGTGAGAGAATGATTGATGTATTTCAGTGTGTGAGAGAATGATTGATGTATTTCAGTGTGTGAGAGAATGATTGATGTATTTCAGTGTGTGAGAGAATGATTGATGTATTTCAGTGTGTGAGATCATGAGTGAGTGAGTGATGGAACACCACAATATTCCAGCTTCATCAGAACAACAAAGCGATACGTGTCACGATGGTATGCATGTGAATTGCGATGGATGACTTCCACAATAGTGTCAATAAGCTGATAAGGTTTTACATATGTATCAGTTTACAAGAGTAATGTACAATAGTAAAATTTCCAAAATTTTGATGTGAAATACAGCCAGTCCCATCACTTCTATGTGATAATTGCTCATATCCCCCCTCGTCCCAATCACGCCATCACTATTATATGATAACTGCACATACCCATCAAACCATCACTGCTATGTGATAACTTCACGTATCCCACATCACTACTATGTGATAACTGCATGTATCCTACATCCCCCATCACTACTATGTGATAACTTCACATATCCTACAACCCCCATCACTGCTATGTGATAACTGTATGTATCCTATATCCCCCATCACTGCTATGTGATAACTGCATGTATCCTACATCCCTCATCACTGCTATGCGATAACTGCATGTATCCTACATTCCCCATCATTGCTATGTGATAACTGCATGTATCCTACATCTCCCATCACTGCTATGTGATAACTGCATATATCCTACATTCCCCATCACTACTATGTGGTAACTGCATGTATCCTACATCTCCCATTCACTACTATGTGATAACTGCATGTATCCTACATCTCCCATTCACTACTATGTGATAACTGCATGTATCCTACATTCCCCATCACTACTATGTGATAACTGCACATATCCTACATTCCCCATCACTTCTATGTGATAACTGCACATATCCTACATTCCCCATCACTACTATGTGATAACTGCACATATCCTACATTCCCCAGCACTACTATGTGATAACTGCATGTATCCTACATCCCCCATCACTACTATGTGATAACTGCATGTATCCTCCATCCCCCATCACTACTATGTGATAACTGCACATATCCTACATTCCCCATCACTACTATGTGATAACTGCACGTATCCTACATTCCCCATCACTACTATGTGATAACTGCATGTATCCTACATCCCCCATCACTACTATGTGATAACTGCATGTATCCTCCATCCCCCATCACTGCTATGTGATAACTGCATGTATCCTCCATCCCTCATCACTGCTATGTGATAACTGCATGTATCCTACATCCCTCATCACTGCTATGTGATAACTGCATGTATCCTCCATACCCCATCACTACTATGTGATAACTGCATGTATCCTACATCCCCCATCACTGCTATGTGATAACTGCATGTATCCTCCATCCCCCATCACTGCTATGTGATAACTGCATGTATCCTCGATCCCTCATCACTGCTATGTGATAACTGCATGAATCCCTCATCACTCCTATGTGATAACTGCACGTATCCCTCATCACTCTTATGTGATAAATGCACGTATCCCCACACACCTTCAGGCAGCGGCTGCAGCACCGAGTCACAGATGTTCAGCTTCAGCAGGAACGCCCTCAGAGACTGTTCCAACTGGAACAGATATTCATCAGTCCTGGAACAAAAATCATCATTTTGAGATGAAACTATAGTTTTAACAATATCTCTGAGAAGTTGGTTGGTTGGTTTGTTGTTTAACGCTGCACTCAGCAATATTCCAGCTATATCATGGCGGTCTGTAAATAATCGAGTCTAGGCCACACAATCCAGTGATTAATATCATGAGCATCGATCCACGCAACTGGGATCGATGACATGCATCAACCAAGTCAGCGAGCCTGACCACCCGATCCAGTTGGTCGCCTCTTACAATAAGCATAGTCGCCTTTTACAACAAGCATGGGTTGCTGAAGATCTATTCTACCCCTGATCTTTACGGGTCGCCCATTGTCTGACGTGAATTGGTCTTAACATTTAGTTTGTTTTCAACATCTCCTCCGAGGCTACATGGCCAAGGAAACTGAAACATTGTATGTGGGAGTGATTCCAGCAAGAGTGCCTCAGAAATCAATATTGAAATAATGTACTGTGTGTGTCAGCTGTATCAGTACAATGGGAACTTACTTTGACCTGGTAGTGTGTGTGTCAGCTGTATCAGTACAATGGGAACTTACTTTGACCTGGTACTGTGTGTGTCAGCTGTATCAGTACAATGGGAACTTACTTTGACCTGGTACTGTGTGTGTCAGCTGTATCAGTACAATGGGAACTTACTTTGACCTGGTAGTGTGTGTGTCAGCTGTATCAGTACAATGGGAACTTACTTTGACCTGGTACTGTGTGTGTCAGCTGTATCAGTACAATGGGAACTTACTTTGACCTGGTACTGTGTGTGTCAGCTGTATCAGTACAATAGGAACTTACTTTGACCTGGTAGTGTGTGTGTCAGCTGTATCAGTACAAGTGGAACTTACTTTGACCTGGTACTGTGTGTGTCAGCTGTATCAGTACAATGGGAACTTACTTTGACCTGGTAGTGTGTGTGTCAGCTGTATCAGTACAATGGGAACTTACTTTGACCTGGTACTGTGTGTGTCAGCTGTATCAGTACAATGGGAACTTACTTTGACCTGGTAGTGTGTGTGTCAGCTGTCTCAGTACAATAGGAACTTACTTTGACCTGGTAGTGTGTGTGTCAGCTGTATCAGTACAATGGGAACTTACTTTGACCTGGTACTGTGTGTGTCAGCTGTATCAGTACAATGGGAACTTACTTTGACCTGGTACTGTGTGTGTCAGCTGTATCAGTACAATGGGAACTTACTTTGACCTGGTACTGTGTGTGTCAGCTGTATCAGTACAATGGGAACTTACTTTGACCTGGTACTGTGTGTGTCAGCTGTATCAGTACAATGGGAACTTACTTTGACCTGGTAGTGTGTGTGTCAGCTGTATCAGTACAATGGGAACTTACTTTGACCTGGTAGTGTGTGTGTCAGCTGTATCAGTACAATGGGAACTTACTTTGACCTGGTAGTGTGTGTGTCAGCTGTATCAGTACAATGGGAACTTTCTTTGACCTGGTACTGTGTGTGTCAGCTGTATCAGTACAATGGGAACTTACTTTGACCTGGTAGTGTGTGTGTCAGCTGTATCAGTACAATGGGAACTTACTTTGACCTGGTAGTGTGTGTGTCAGCTGTATCAGTACAATGGGAACTTACTTTGACCTGGTAGTGTGTGTGTCAGCTGTATCAGTACAATGGGAACTTACTTTGACCTGGTACTGTGTGTGTCAGCTGTATCAGTACAATGGGAACTTACTTTGACCTGGTACTGTGTGTGTCAGCTGTATCAGTACAATGGGAACTTACTTTGACCTGGTAGTGTGTGTGTCAGCTGTATCAGTACAATGGGAACTTACTTTGACCTGGTACTGTGTGTGTCAGCTGTATCAGTACAATGGGAACCTACTTTGACCTGGTACTGTGTGTGTCAGCTGTATCAGTACAATGGGAACTTACTTTGACCTGGTAGTGTGTGTGTCAGCTGTATCAGTACAATGGGAACTTACTTTGACCTGGTAGTGTGTGTGTCAGCTGTATCAGTACAATGGGAACTTACTTTGACCTGGTACTGTGTGTGTCAGCTGTATCAGTACAATGGGAACTTACTTTGACCTGGTAGTGTGTGTGTCAGCTGTATCAGTACAATGGGAACTTACTTTGACCTGGTAGTGTGTGTGTCAGCTGTATCAGTACAATGGGAACTTACTTTGACCTGGTACTGTGTGTGTCAGCTGTATCAGTACAATGGGAACTTACTTTGACCTGGTAGTGTGTGTGTCAGCTGTATCAGTACAATGGGAACTTACTTTGACCTGGTAGTGTGTGTGTCAGCTGTATCAGTACAATGGGAACTTACTTTGACCTGGTAGTGTGTGTGTCAGCTGTATCAGTACAATGGGAACTTACTTTGACCTGGTAGTGTGTGTGTCAGCTGTATCAGTACAATGGGAACTTACTTTGACCTGGTAGTGTGTGTGTCAGCTATACCAGTACAAGTGGAACTTACTTTGACCTGGTACTATGTGTGTCAGCTATATCAGTACAATGGAAACTTACTTTGACCTGGTACTGGTATTGAACCTACTTTGACCTGGTACTGTGTGTGTCAGCTATTTCAGTACAATAGGAACTTACTTTGACCTGGTACTGTGTGTGTCAGCTATATCAGTACAAGTGGAACTTACTTTGACCTGGTACTGTGTGTGTCAGCTATATCAGTACAAGTGGAACCTACTTTGACCTGGTACTGTGTGTGTCAGCTATATCAGTACAATTGGAACTTACTTTGACCTGGTACTGTGTGTGTCAGCTGTATCAGTACAATGGGAACTTACTTTGACCTGGTAGTGTGTGTGACAGCTATATCAGTACAAGTGGAACTTACTTTGAACTGGTACTGTGTGTGTCAGCTATACCAGTACAAGTGGAACCTACTTTGACCTGGTACTATGTGTGTCAGCTATATCAGTACAATGGAAACTTACTTTGACCTGGTACTGGTATTGAACCTACTTTGACCTGGTACTGTGTGTGTCAGCTATTTCAGTGCAATAGGAACTTACTTTGACCTGGTACTGTGTGTGTCAGCTATATCAGTACAAGTGGAACTTACTTTGACGTGGTACTGTGTGTGTCAGCTATATCAGTACAAGTGGAACCTACTTTGACCTGGTACTGTGTGTGTCAGCTATATCAGTACAATTGGAACTTACTTTGACCTGGTACTGTGTGTGTCAGCTGTTTCAGTACAAGTGGAGCTTACTTTGACCTGGTACTGTGTGTGTCAGTTATATAAGTATCAGTGGAGCTTACTTCGACCTGGTACTATGTGTGTCAGTTATATCAGTACAAGTGGAACTTACTTTGACCTGGTACTGTGTGTGTCAGCTATCTCAAACACAAATCTTTCCAGTGGAGAGTTATCTGCCCTTAGAACAACAATGGCCACCGTCTCGACCTCCCCCTGCTCCAGCAGCCAGCGGACCCCGTCGACAACGTGGATCACATACTCCTTCACTTCAGGGTGCAGACACATCTGTCAATAATCAGACACATCAGCAGTTAATCAGACACATCTGAATAATGATCAGCAAATTGTTTAATTAGTTGCTTTACAAATCTACCTCATCCAAATTTGCTGAAGTCAAAATACAAAAGGAGGCAAAACTTGTCTTGTCTTTCTCAAAAAGCACATTTTCATTTATTTCATTTTGCCTTTAACATGTTTAATGTACATAAAATATTCATATTTCAGAGACAACTTAGTCATGTCCATAAAGCTTTTTTTTAAGGTATAACTTCAATCACTCTTTTACCTTGGGACCCAAAGTTATTGAACATACAGTTGAAGAACATGTGAAACTTAGATTTGCATTCAGGGACCAGTCATTTATTATAGGCTAAGGTGGGTCACAGGGAATCGGGAGAGTCATCTAAAACTATGAACATGATGAAAGTTTCACATCACAGTTTTGATGGAGCATAGAAATTCCCAATGTAAGAGTGAGGAAATATTTTGAAAAGTAGACGGATGTACTTGAACTGGGACATTGTACTTCTTCCTCTTCACAAACACCCCTGCTGGGTAGAGGCCTCGGTTGTACAGGATGCAGTGCACCGCCACTTCCAGGAACTCACTCAGGACATCAGAAGACACTGAGACAAATAAAATATCAACTTTTCTTGAACATACTGAATCTGTCAAAAATGTACACAGAAAACCTTATTTACACATACAATGCTATCAAATTTCACACTTTTATTGACCAAGTTTGTTATACCTGTTTATTCACCTGAATTCGCTGAAGGGATATGATAACGCTCATCAATTATTTGGACCCTGAAGGTAGCGTTGTTTGTTTTTTAAAATGTCCGGACAGAAAAATTTAAATGTCCGGTAAGCAATATTTTAAACCAGACATTTGAGATTCCCAATTGGACATGTCCGGCACATATGACCGTTTCCAGACCCCTGACGCATAGCACGTTTTGATTAGAACACTCAGGCCTGGGCCCACTTGCACAAAGTGAGCTTAGCGCTACGACTATTGTAAGCCTTTGTTAATGTATGGGAGTTACAATCATCTTAGCGCTAAGATTGCTTTGTGCAAATGCACCCTGGTGTCTAAACATTGAAATGGTTAGTTGGGCCATGGCAATGATTCTTAATGCAAATCTGTCATTCTCAGTTATTGGTACAAATGCAGTCGCTCAGATATGACACTGATTTATTCCTAAAATGTAGCACTGTATTTTAAGATAAATTTCTGTGCATGATTTAGTTCAGTATACCAGAAACATATTAACACATTATACATGTGCAAATAATTCACAGATGTAATCTCCTAGCTTGGGGGTGCCATTTTTAAATTGTCGGTGAATAACATTCCCATCACGAACATGCTGAAATAAGATATTTGTGACAATGTCGGAAATACTATCACTCTGAAAACTTCAGTATAGTTCTCTTATTTCAATGTACGTGGCAGCACAGCAAGAGAGGAATTGTTAGCAAAGAATGACTGAAATCAGAGACCATATAATATATCGTATTATATGGTCTCTGCTGAAACGAGACAGGTGCGCGAATTCTGTATACTCTTCAGAGTTCATTATCGGATACAAATGTTCCGGACGACAATGATTCATACTGCAAATATAAACAATCCAAACTTGCATGCATCATATTACCTTGTAGACAACTAACGTTCTCCATACTTCAGCTGTCTTTCAAAAGCAAACAGTTTAGCTATTATTCGTCATTCTTTGCCAATCTGCACACTGAAGAAATCGTAAACAAAAACTCCAAGGGAGGCCACTCTATTTGACTTTTCTCAAATGGTCTTTCTATTGTAGAAGAATCTTCATTTTAGTTCGAATGTCTAGCAGGATTATTTTGCTAATTGATAAAACCAAATAAATCAAAATAAATTCAAAATAATATTTTTTTACAATAGTACCAGTTTGTGTTCCATTTTTGATATGTCAATACTTCAAGACTTCTATCTGATCATAATATACAATGATAAACAAGAGTCATCAGAAAGATGACCTATCCCCCCGGCAGCTGTCTGTAAAGTAACCACTAGTAAATGTGCAATTCTCTATGTAATGAGTCAACAGTTGAATGTTCTTCAAGAACCATACATTGTTTACCCACTGAATGGTTTTCGAATTCTGGCCCGGAAACGAACCCGTTTCCCATTGGAGTCTAGGTCCAACTTCTTTCAATAGAAATTGTAAAAAATAAAAATTCGTAAAAAATTTTTTTATCAAAAGGCACCACTTCAGTATGTGCCTGATAGCTTTGCCAAGTTTCGATCAAATACACTGAATGGTTTTCGAATTCTGCCCCTGAAACGAACCCCATCCCCAATTGAGTCTATGTCCAACTTCATTCCATAAAAATTTTAAAAAAATAAAAATTGGAAAAATCCCAAAATATCAAAAGGCACCACTTCAGTATGTGCCTGATAGCTTTGCCAAGCTTCGATCAAATACACTGAATGATTTTCGAATTCTGCCCCTGAAACGAACCCCATCCCCAATTGAGTCTATGTCCATCTTCATTCCATTAAAAAAATAAAAAATAAAAATTAGAAAAATCCCAAAATATCAAAAGGCACCACTTCAGTATGTGCCTGATAGATTTGCCAAGTTTCGATCAAATACACTGAATGGTTTTGGAATTCTGCCCCGGAAAAGGAAATGATTACAGACGGACAGACAGACGGACGGACTGACAGACAGACGGACGGGCGGACGGACGGACAGACAGACTGGCTGATCGCTATATTCCCCCGCATTATATGCCGGGGGGATAAAAAGAGATCATGCCCGTATGGCTCTTTTTTCTTTAGGTGTGTAAGTGAGTCTTAAATCCAAATTTAAATTTCTCTTTTCGATGACAAACACAAGTTAACCTATTATGGAAGGTATAAGGCCATCAAAATAAGGCATACATATTAAACTTTAAATTGTCTCAATTCAATATTCACTTGAACCATGCAACACGAGTCAAGGTTAGAGATACAGTTATATATTTTTCAAGGGAACGGGGCAATCCGTACCCACGTGTGCCAAAAAAGCATTTTCAAACACGGCTGTTTGTTTTGTGTTTCATTTCGCAACACATGAGTAGGCCTAGTCCAATCACCATCTTCCCGAGGCTTGTGAGTTAACTGACTATAAAAGTCCAGTTTCCCCCCTTTCCGAAATAGGCTGGTATTATGGAGTTACATTTTGGCTGGACTAACGAGTCTATGCATTGTCCAATCAAAATCGCGCACCGAAATCGAAATCCGGTTCGTACAATGTCGTGCAAATTTCTATCGATTGCAGGATTTGCAAAGTATGTGCACCGCCAACTCGTTGTCAACAGATATTTTTTCCCAAGTCTTTGTATGTTTTTAATCAAGGTGCTCACGTAATTTGATGCACTTCGCAATGTAAGACCCGTTTCATCACAATATAGATCTTGATTGTCGATCAGATCGTTTTGACTGGGCGCCGCCATTTGGTTTGAAGCAAATGCAAGTGATACGAGAGGTGGAATCTGATTGGTACATATGAGAGGCTTAGAAGGGACATAACTTGTAATAACCACTGGTGGCGCTACGGTCGAGCCCAGGAATTCAAGCCTAGTTCGGCAAGGGTGGAAACTGGACTTTTAAAGTCAATTAACTCCCTTGCCTCAGGAAGATGTCCAATCACCGACTGTGAAGACTGCTTGTAACACCGGCCGACTTCCAAGAACTTTGTAGTTTAAAAATAATTAGGCCAAAACGGCCAATTGAGATATTTAATCCAAATGTTACTAGCATATGAAAGTGAGTGAGTTTAGTTTTTTTTTGTCACATTGGCAATATTTCAGCCCTTACGTGACTAGAACAAGTTATATATTAATGATACATATCATCAGACTATAAACCATGTCAACAAAGGACAGTAAGATAACTAGATTATCATAGATGTAGATTTAAAACTGGCATGTTACTATAAAAATTGGACTATTCTTAACAATACTCTTTCGTCGTCATTCGATTGAGTTAAATGGTTGACTGCCTATACTGTGGCTAACCAAGTGGGTCGATATGAAGTCATCGCTTACATTTTGCTTTCAGACGCGTGTTGGTAGGTTTGTTGTTGCCATAGGAGTTGCATCCCTGCACTGGTGAACCTTGATGCTCTTATTGTTTCTGGACAACACACCTGCGTGAGTGGATTTCAATAACTTTAACAAGGAATGGATTGATAATATTCGGCTGAAATTTCGTATGAATGATCCCAGCTGTAACGTATCTAAATTTGCTCACAGAATTCCGATCTGATTTAAAACATGACCACAACAGAAGCCACACTTAGCAACTCATGAATGGCTATGAATCGTCCATCTATTTTTTTCAAAATGTATCAACATTTGGCATAGATGTAGTTGTTTGTTTGTTTGTTGTTTTACGCGGTACTCAATATTCCAGCTATATGACGGCGGTCTGTAAACAGTCGAGTCTGGACCAGACAATCCAGTAATCGACATCATGAGCATCGAGCCACACAATTGTGATACGATGACATGCATCAACCAAGTCAGCGAACCTGACCACCCGATCCCGTTAATCGCCTCTTACCACGAGCATAGTCGCCATTTTCGGCAAGCATGGGTTGCTGACCTATTCTACCCCAGATCTTCATTTTTTGGATGATAAAGATAAATGCTTCACTGAAACGATGTTTGCAAACATACTTCTCGCAGAGGAAAGCGTTCACTTACCTTGTGGGATGATCGCCTGTCGTACACGATCACAGGGAATGAGTAACTTATGTTAACTTTAAGGACCAAGGTTGCACCAACCCTGAACTTCACAAATAACAGAGAGTGTGATTGCAATTGTCCCAGGTTTTCATGCCATTTAACTTCTGAAACATCAACACAGCTCCCCGCTTCCGATATGGACTATCGTGGAGCCGAGCAACACAGAAATATATGTAGAAAAGGGTTGCTTCATTCCAAGTTTCAAAGTTCACTTTAAGAACGCATACTGTTCATATATTCGACCACATAATGCAGTACATGCGCGGAAACTTTTCAAAGTTGCATATATGATAACCGATCTTGGAAATTATTTCTGGGTAACTGTTCAATTTTTAGTTTGTGATGACTTAAACGACGTTTTGAGAAATGTGACCTATGAGCTTTGTTTTTATATTATCTCACCATATTTGCTTCCATTAATTGTATTGTTTATTTGTAGTCTTACTACAGGTTAATATTACAGTAATATATGTTTATAACAAACACGCTTATAATGAACTGACGGATATTACGAACTTAATTTTTGGTCCTGACATTTGCTGTTTGGATGTTGTATATATGCTTATCACGAACTCCGGTTATAACGAACTAAAATTAGTGCTCTATTTGAGTTCGTTATAACCGTAGTTTACTGTATTTCTGTGGAATCTGATTGGTCCATAGGAGAGGTTTAGAAGGGACATAACTCGTAATAACCCAGGAATTCCAGCCTTGTTCGGCATGGGTTGAAACTGGATTTTTAAAGTCAGTTAACACTCTTGCCTCGGGAGGATGACCACTGTCACATGTTTGAATGACCCTACCCTGATTCTCTGCAGCTCCCCTTGTCGTAAATGGGCTGGAACTTACTTCCACAAAATGGCTATCTTAACTCTCCTTTCTTTGTTCAGTGGTATCACTACCAAGAACACAATGACCACAGGCTGCACTTCGCTTTTAGACTGGTCCCTGTTTTTATACCTGTTGCATCACCTTGATGATCTATGGTGACGGATTCTGGGATGAAGAAACTAGTCTTAGCCGACGGCGATATTGGTATCCCTTTTCACTCATAAATTGGTCCTGGACAAGACAACAGATTCACATTTCAAGCTTAAGCCATTTCACCTTTTAATGTATACATATTTTTTTCATCATATCCATGTTATGATGCAGCTTTTTTGTAGCCCATGTGACTTTACTTTCTGATATCTGCAGGCTTACAAATGACCTTGACCTTGGCGGCTATATAAGATCCCTGGTCCCGTGAACACTTGACCCTCCAGGTCATTGAGTTGGCATACATAATTTTATGCCTCGTATTCCACAATATCCTTTAGAATGGTCTCCACACATCGTACCAATGTGATGGCACATGGTCCTGTGCCAAGCGCACAATCCACAAATCAGGCGAAGTTAAGCACTGCCGGTGGCGGAGAGTGGGTGGATGGACTTCTATCAGTTTCTTGGGCTTCAGTCCTGCCCCAGATACACAGGTTACATGTGGTGTCTCCTTTGGTACAATGGTACAAGGTACAATGATGTGATGCACAATTAGCCATGGGTGTGTTTCATAGTGCAAGTGTCATGACTCGCAAACGTCAACATAGACCTATGATAGGCATGGAGCTATGATCACTTTGTGAAAGGAGGCCAGACACTGAACAACCTGGGTGCCATAGTACAAAGCAAAATTAGCACAAAGGTGGTTGTATCTCCCATACCGTAATAACCAAGACAAACGGCAGTCCCAGCGCGAAAGATGTTGTGTACAATACATCCAGATCCTCTAAACTCAGCTCTTCTTCCCCAGCTTCCCTACCTACCTATACTCATAGTGGGTGCGTGAGTTTGGGTTTTATGCTGCATATTCCCACAATATCATGGCGGTGACACCATACAAGGATTCAACACAATGTACCCAAGGGGGAAATGAAACCTCAGCCTTAGTCGTGACAAGGGAACACCTTAACCACAAGGCTCCTTCACAGTCATCCAAGGGGCGGTCGGGTAGCCTAGTGGTTAAAGC